GCCAGCAGAGTTGGGGCAGATCCACGACACTTTTCATGTGTCGCAGTTGAGGAAGTGTACAGCCGATGAGTCGGCAGTGGTTCCATTAGAGGATGTTCAGGTGGATGCGAGCCTGAATTATGCCGAGAGACCAGTGGCCATCAAAGATCGGAAGATCAAGGTCCTGAGGAACAAGGAGATACCTCTGGTGTTGGTTCAATGGCAACACCGGAAGGGATCAGAGATGACCTAGAAGCCAGAGCGTGAGATGCAGGAGCAGCATCCGGAGCTATTTTCAGAGCGAGACTTCGAGGGCGAAGTCTAGTTCTAGTGGGGGAGAGTTGTAACAGCCCGGATTTCCAGGTATCTTTTATGTTTATGAATTTGGTGTTTTGAGAGGAGACTCGACGAGTTGGAGCTCAGACTCGCCGAGTAGGATCGCGGATCTGGTCGCCGGTTCGCGCCTGGACTCGGCGAGTCCATGTTGTTTAATGAAACCCTAATTTCTCGGGTTTGGGACCTATTTAAAGGGCCTTATGGCCGTCATTTGTGCTCACCAGTCCCTTGAGTGAAACCCTAATCGAGTGTGAGCGTTTAGAGAAAAGTAGGAGGCCATTATTGATCTTGGAGGTGTCATTTTTGCAAGGAAAGGGAGAACCAGCTAGGGGAAAGCAAGAGGACTCATTTTCTGAGAGTTTGGAGTCCAGAGCATCACTATTGTGGTAATATCTTCGAGCTATCCTTTTCCACGTTGATGTTTATTTTGATTTAGGGTTTCTTGAACCCTCTTGTGGCTAGATCTAGTGCTCTCTTGGTCCCTTAAGCGATTTAAACCATAGATCTGGACCCTTGGAGGTCCAGAGTGTCCCTTTGCCCAAGCTTTTTGGGAATCAATGGAGGTTTTCGATTGAAATCCTTATGCCTTAGGTCAAAACGCTATTTATGAGCCATGGGGTGTGTTATGGACACCAAGATAGGGGCTTTACGTGATGAATCAGTCTAGGAAGGCCAGATCTATGAATTGTTGGAGCAGATCTGACCTTAGAAGCAAGTTAGAGTGGTTGCATGGCATGGACTCGCCGAGTCCGATGAACAGACTCGGCGAGTAGTTTGAAGATTGCCTTGAGTTCGCTCAGTGAGTGATCCAGTCGAGTCATAGGTTGACTCAATGAGTCAGGGTGAGTTAGAGAGGGTCGACAGGTGGACTGAGTTGAACTGGGACTCGCCGAGTTGTTCTTGAGACTCAGCGAGTTGAGTCGGGGTGGCCCCACGATTCTTCCAGGTGGAACTCATCGAGTCAGGGGGAGTACTCGACGTGTAGGAAGGGAATCCTAGAGAGTTGGTGAAAACGTCTAGATTCGCTGAGTCGCCCTAGCGCACTCGCCGAGTCCGGTCAAAGTTGACCATTGACCGTTGACCGTTGACCAGAGTTGACCTGTGTTGACTTCTTAGGAATAGTCAACCTTAGAGATATAAAGTGTTAATTAGAGACATATGATGTTATAGGAGGATTAGAACTCGGAGGATCGTGCACGAGGGATTTCCAGGATTCGTGAGATACCGAGATACGCGAGGTGAGTCTTCTCACTATACTTTACCTTGAGTAGGTAACCAAAGTTATATGATAGAGTATTTGTATGCAATGTATGTTATGTGTTGTACTTCATTATTTCTATGTGATTTATGTTGTGCATGTTTACAGAGTTAGAACCTGAGTGTTCACAGAGTTTGGGTGCACGGACCCACAGAGTTATAGCCTCGAGTGGCAATATGTGTTATATATGGTATTTTGGGGAACTCACTAAGCTTCGTGCTTACAGTGTTAGTGTTGTTGTTTCAGGTACTAGCGATGACCGTGGGAAGACGCCGGCTTGATCTGTACACACGCAGGGGACTTTTGATATATTTTTGTGATCTTGGAATTTGTATGATACGAATTGGAATTTTAAACTTAATGTTTTATGAAAATGAATGAGAAATGTTTTTATAATTGCGAAAAATTATTTTGAAAATTCACGGTGTTACAACTAATGTATGTTATTATTCTACTATGAATTTAATATGTATAGTATTGTAGTAATTATAATATGAATATACTCAATTTTATATTGCTATTCTACTATAAAAATTTTATATATATTTATATATATATATATATATATATATATATATATATATATATATATATATATATACATATGTACTAATTTAGTAAATTCTAATGTGAATGTTAAATATGTGATTGTTCATATATTTGGTGATGAATAATGTCATAAAGTTGTACATACAAAATTTTAATGTGAATATTAATTTGTGATTTTTCGTATATTTGTTGATGAATAATGTCATATCGTTGTATATACAAAATTCATAGTAGAATAGTAACATAAAGTAGTGTTCTCACGTTCTCACATTAAATAGTGTTCTCATTTGAACTTCACCCTATATATATATATATATATATATATATATATATATATATATATATATATATATATATATATATATATATATATATTCAGTCGCAAACATACTTCATTTCTCACTTTCCAAACCGAAAACACCCTCAATTTGCTCTCAAAAACCAATCCAAAAATCCTCTCAACTATCACACAAGATCATCATATCCTCATGGGATTTTTCCCGAATCTTCATAATTTTCCCAAGAACACCAAAACAATCTTCACATCTTCAAGCACACAGAAAACACCCAGCACACCAAAAACACTTAGCACACCGAAAACACCCAAGCTAACACCGAAAACCCCCAGGGACACCGGAAACGCCAAGAAACCCACTTAATTAATTTCTAACACTTTTTATAAGTATTTCTTACATAATTAAGTTTTGTATAACACTTAATTTATTATTTAATTTATTGAAATTAATATCTTATTAATTAAAATATGATATCGTGTATAATTGTTATTAGGACACGACTACGTACGCGGGTTCTAACCCAATAATCGTCGCTACCACTTCGCATCCAAACACGAACTTACATTAGAGGTGAGTTCATACCCCTACATTTTCACTATGTTTAAATTTTTTTAGGGGGGAGGGGAATACAAGTAAAACACAAGGGATCTGATGTTCACATTCAAACGATTTCAAACTGTTTCAAGTTAATCTAAATTGTTTCAAGTGTCGATTTTACCAATATATACATACATACATATATATATATATATATATATATATATATATATATATATATATATATATATATATATATATATAGGAATCAACAGGCTTAGGACTATTGTTTTTGCTTTAACTCATGTTCCTTGTTTGGTTGTTGGCTTAGGGTGGAAGTGCTTGTACGGCGGTCTTTTTAATCTCAATTAAATATGGTGTGTGTGTGTGTGTGTCTATATATATATATATATATATATATATATATATATATATATATATATATATATAAACCCCCTCAATTAATTTCTAACACTTTTTATAAGTATTTCTTACATAATTTAGTGTTGTATAACACTTAATTTATTATTTAATTTATTAAAATTAATATCTTATTAATTTAAATACGATATTGTGTATAATTGTTAGTAGGACACGACTACGTACGCGGTTTCTAACCTAAGGATCGTTGCTACCACTTCACACCCAAACACGAACTTACATTAGAGGTGAGTTAATACCCCTACATTTTCACTATTTTTCAATGTTTTTAGGGGGAGGGGGAATACAAGTAAAACACAAGGGATCTTGTGTTAACATTTAAACGATTTCAAACTGTTTTAAGATATTTTGAAACTATTTCAAGTTAATCTAAATTGTTTGAAGTGTCGATTTACCAATATATACATACATATATATATATATATATATATATATATATATATATATATATATATATATATATATATATAGGAATCAACATGCTTAGGACCACTACTAAGAAAAAGGCCTTTTACGATGCTCATTGCGCGTCGTAAAACGCTCAGACGACGCGCAAATGTGCGTCAAGGAAGGCCCTGTCATAACGAGAGACGACGCGCTTTTGCAACACGCATTTATGACACGCAATGTGTATCAGTAAAGCCGCTATCAAGAAATGTCATGTCATAAATGAAGATGACACACATTTTTGCGTGTCATAATTTTAAATGTTTAAAAAAAGATATATATTGATAGGTTTTAGTAATTTTCAAATTAAATAACACGTTAAAAGTCTTATAATAAAAAATAAAATACAATAAATAAGAAATATAATTCATTGTACTAATATCTCAAATACATATTATCATTCAAATAGTAAGTAAATGTAATACATTGTTAATATTGCATAATAATTATTATAGAAAAGCAAAACATGTACAACATTAAAAGGAACCCGTGAGTAATTTATCCTTTGACAATCTTCATGGCAACTTTAAGCCTTGCAACCTCACCATGGTATTGAACTTCGCCACCACCGACCTAAGAAAAAAATTATGTGTAAATATCAAAAAACAATATGGGAGCCAATCATTCTATGATGCAAGGAAAAATATCACTAGAGAACTGTAAAAAAAAAATACGAAACAAATAAATGAAAGTGCATTGTTATTTCTTTAATACTTACTGCATAGAGTAAGACTTGGTCATTATCAATAGTTTTGAAGGACATTGATGTCAGCCTATGCTGCACAAGATAGATGTGTTAATAAACAAATCAATGAAGGCACGTTGCTATTTCTTAACACAAAAACTAATGCAAATCGTGTAGAATCTCCTAGTTTATATAGGTAATCTTCCAAACTCAGTTGATACATGATCGTAGTCCAAATAACATGATGGGATTAAAATTTAAAATAAGGTTTTTTGTTGTAGATTATTTGTAACCTGAGCATCAGATAAGTAAATTCCCAGATGATGTGGAGTGGTATCTTGTTCCATGCATGACTCTCGTTTCTTGAGCAGCAAAGGTTACCCCATAGTCTAAAAACTAAAATTTTGACTTTTAGGGTTTCAAGTCAACTTACCCGCATCCCAGATGTATAATCTTCATCTGCCCTAAGAAGCTAGACTAGTTGACCAACATCATCAAGAGCATTTGGAGCCCATGAAGATGGTGCTTCTAATAATCCAAGAAGAAGTCTTTGAGTAGCAAATGGACTAGCAATAACATAGTACCAATGGAAGAGCCTTGCATAAGGCTCTAAAGCAGGAAGCCCTGCAACAGGATGATCATCCATGGTTGTTGTTGGAGGAGGAAGTAATAGAGCAAGAACGGCAACTGCAGGGACCGAGTAGCGGTTTATAAGTGAACCAAATTAGAATTGAAGGGGAAGTACATTGATATTAGTTGAAAATAAGATGAAACTGATGAAGGGTGTTCTACCTTCCTCTTAAGAAGTACATGAGTACATATCCAAGTGATTCCAAATCATCTCTTTGGCTTTGTTCTAAGCAACACAAACATGTAAGAATGATAAATTTTTGTTCATATTTTTGAATTTTTGAGCACCATAAAAAAGCTTACCAATTCCAAGGTGAGTATTCATGCTTGAATATCTTGTTGTCCCTGTCAAATTCTTGTTCTATCTGCATTTATAAGATATAAAATATGGATTGATTACGGGTCACTTTTTTATGAATAAAAGATTGCTGATGAAAGTTTTAAAAAAATATTCACTCAGCTATATGAAATGTGTCGATGAGTTGAAGAGTATATATTTCTTGGCTAGCCTGAAATCAATAGCATAAACCTGCAAAAAACAGAATGTCCAATGGAATATGGAACTAATTATGGAATGAAACCTGATTAGCACGCCTCCCTAAACCCATAAGGAAGTTGTATGGCTTCATATCCCTATGCAGAAATGATTTATAGTGAATAAATTCAACTCGGTTGATCTGCAACATATATAATCACGTAAAAAAAGTGAATACATAAAAATGCAAGGATATTTTCAATCTATTTGTGTGAAAATAGGTCAATTAGGAAAGAAAGGCATACCATTTGATCAGCAAGCATAAGAACATTTTTCAAAGACATCTTCCTACTACAGAAGTTAAACAAATCTTCAAAGCTCGATCCCAATAAATCCAACACAAGAACATTGCAGTCTGCTTCAACGCCAAACCATCTCATCACATACACATAAAATTGTTGGATTAATGTCTAAGTCCATAACTATAATTGGTAAGACTTGACCCGACCCGGCATGGTCCATTTTGGTTGCATGGCATCATGCACTTGGATAGACTATAATGAGAGAAATAAGACACTTACGGTTATTAATATATTATAAGTTCTAGTATATTAATAATAAGAATAATGAGATTATTTAATTAGTATTGATCAAGAATTAATCTAGAATTAATTAAGTGATCAAAAGAAGACTAATTAAATATATGGGTTGATTGTGTAAATCATCCATACTTATATAGTGAGCTAATGCTCCATGGATTATCTAGTTGGGCCAAAACCCATATGATGCTCCATGGATGCTCCATGGTGTATTTGAACCCATGGATCCAAGGAAATGGAAAGTCATGACAATTAGGGTTTACCCTAATTGTAACACTATATAAAGATATTATTCTTCCCAAAATCGGTCACTAGATTATTCTAGAGGGGCTAACCGATTTCATGAAGTGTTCTAGTTTCTCTCAAGTTATTCCTAGTGTATTTGGTGTTGTGTGAACCATTTGAGGTGTCACACTTGAGGCACTAAGCACTCAAGCTTCATGAAGACAAGCACTATCAAAGAGGTATGTATTCTATCTTGTTATATCCATTATTTTGTATGCTAGATTAGGATAATACCTTGGATGTTCATATTTGCATGTATAATAGAGAAAACATAGATCCAAGGTATTTAGGGTTGCATGTACACTTAGGAGTGTTAGAATGCTCATAACCCAACAAAAATTACACCTGCGCCATTAGCTACCAGGTATAATAGCATGCACAAAACTCGCAACCTGACTTGTCAATGCCAGATGTTTTGATGTTTTGATGTAATTGACTTTAAACAAGACACCTACACCATTATCTAATAGGTGAATTGGTTTAGTTTTGATACTGATTACCACATTGAAAGGGAACAAATGTGTTGTTATCTTACACGTACAACAGAAGTGACTCATCAGCTTATAAGAGATAATTTACATGAGACTCCAACTTATGGAGGATGGGTGGAAGCTAAAGGACCTTGATATTGTCCCTCAATTGAGGATAAGGTTATAATGCTTTTTTTAATTATTTCGTGCATTTAGCCTTGTTTAAATTATATGTTTTTATTCTCAGATTGTAAGATTCCAAGATAAGGACTGCTCATCAAATATTTCTTGAACCAGAAGGTCGAAGTGTACCTGATCTCTATGTTCAGGTCTCTTGAGAATAATCAATTTCTGAAATGGATTACCAGAAAGATTATAGTTACCACTTTTGAGAACATTACCAGGTAACAAATTGAAAAATATTACAATTACCACTTTTGTAATAATTGCTTTTGAGAAAAAAAAATTGTGGTAAGGTGGTAACGTGATCCAACCACTTTTGAGAACATCCTTCAGTCGTAAGGCATGTCAAAGCCAAGGGCTTTATAATAATTGCTTCATGAACCGGACCCTGACCACCAAATCAATATCTCCTCCTTGGACTTCTTAACCAATTCCCAGGAGGTGATCTGGCAGATTATCACAAAGCACATTAGCTACAAAAAATGAAACTTAAAACATGAATTTTATTTCATGTGTTGAAAACATAACAAGAAAAGGAAATAAGAACATATATACCTCCTCCTATTGTTTCTCCTTCTGAAAGGACCTTCACTGAATGCCCAATCAATATTCACATTCTGAGTTAGCAGCTCACCTCCATCCATTGCGCTATAGCTTTCTCTGCTTCTTCAAAGCTTTCATACTCAATCAGTGCATACCCCTGTTGCAGTATAAAGCCAAATAACAACTTTGCCACTTCCATACTTCATACATCAAGAAAACACAACTTACTACAAAATAATATCACAATAACTTGACAAAACCAGTCCTCTGATCAAGATTTAGATGCAAGTTCTTAATATCACCAAACTCCCCAAATGCGTTTTGTAAGTCGTCCTCTTGGGCTTCTTCATGTACCCCAGTAGCCAGAATAATCCACCCCTCAATTGCTACAGATGTTCGTAGATTTATTATAAACAAGATGAAAAGGGTTGCCAAACTGCCTCATAGACTCAATACCAACTTACTAAATGATCCTTTTACCCTCAAATAACAGAAAAAACAACAAAAAAAAAGCCACAAATCTTTTCAGCATAAATCGTGAAATCTATGAATCAAAATAAATCGTACCTGAACTTGATCAACGTAGATCCTCTTTCCCACAATTTCACATTATAATTTTGAGTTTTGATTTATGATTCTTCATGTATCTGCGTCTTATACTTGTTAAATGAAATTAAAGCTTTTGTACTTATGTAAAGAAATCTTAGAAAAAAGGGTCAAAAAGATGGTGCTTGAATGTGGCAAAGTTCATCAAGACGGTGGTAAGTGGTAAGTTCTTGGGCCATTGGATGTCAGAATAAAAGATATCCATCTGAGAAGTATTGGAAATAGTCGATTCAGGTGTTATTTTGCAAAGAGAATATGAGAGTGATCTATGAAAAAGGAAAGTTCACTGTGAAAAGAAGATAAGAAATGGTGGTACTGGTAGCCGGTAAGGAAACGTGCCTAGTAGTATTTAGGGTTTATCTTAAAGAGAGGGGGAAGGGAAACAGAATATGATGATGGAGGTGGAAATGGTGCGGTGTTTTGGTGGAAGGGAAACAGAATATGATGATTTAGGGCTTTCTTTCACTTCATGATCCACCGAACCACCGACAACTTCCCTGCTCACTCTCTCATCTCCCCTTTGTTGCTCACATGTGTACGCTCGGCCTATCTTCTCTACCGTTCGCGGGACCAGTCACAGCTCACCTCCTCCATCCGGAGACCTTTGTGAACCACGCCACCACCTCCGTCCACTCTCTCTCTCTCTCTCTCTCTCTCTCTCTCTCTCTATCTGCCATTCGCATATCTTTATAATTATACGCGTGAAGACACTAGTGATGGATGGATTGGCGTATCCTGCCCTGAGTTGGACTCACTTGGATGGATTAACAATTGGAGCATAATAACGAGAAACCTTCCTCGTCAGAGAGGTGGGTGATGGAAGAGATATTGTAGATTGAAGAGAAAGTGGAGATGTAAGTGAACAAGAGATGGAGACTAACCAGACCTAAATCGTCATGGCGGGCTTTCAACTTTTCTAATTTTTGGGAATTCCTTTTCCCATTACTAAAGATGAAGATGTGCGCGTTTCATTAAAAAAAATATAAAACGACATGATTTCACGACGCTCTTTTTATGAAAGGTGCCCTTCGTGTTTTTTTAACACTAATTATAGGGCACGCAAAAATACGTGTCCTAAATCCTTCACATTTTGGGAGATCTCACATTATTTTTAGGGCACACACTTTTGTGTATCGTAAAACAGCACGTGTCATGGTTTGCACGTCATTACTGGGTACTTTTTCTAGTAGTGGACTAGTGTTTTTGCCTTAACTCATGTTTCTTGTTTGGTTGTGGGCTTAGGGTGGAAGTGCTTGTCCGACGGTCTTTTTAATCTCAATTATATATGCTATGTGTGTGTATGTGTATATATATATATAACTTATTTAAATAGAGCTTTAACCTCATTGTAATATGTCGAGAAAAGGGGTATTTTTCATGATTATTTCAGTACATACAGAACTTACATATAAACTATAATAGGTATAGTTTATGAAACATACATACTACTTTACTAGTTCAAGGAACTATACAAGAACAGATATGATAAATTATAATAGGTATAATTTATGGAACATCTACACTCGTTTACTAAGTTTCTAGAGTACTATACATAAATAATTATTTAAGTATAATTATTTTACACTACGAGATACACTACAAAAGGGAACACATACTTTTACAAGAACAAGAGAACATTTACACACTATATGTAAACAAGTTAACACATGATTGTGAGCCACTACTTCAATTTACCTATCAAGGTATGCGTTAAGTCCTGATTATAACCAGAGTCTCCTGGAGGGAGAGCGCGAATTTGTGTATAAATCTATATGGGACTGACAATCTCGCACCTAAACTTTTGGCTATAGTTAGGCTGGCAGGCCTGGGGTGACAAATGTCATAACATTCTGACGCCTGAGGAACGTCACGCAGGCCACTAGTCACTTTAGCATGGTTATAAACTCACTCACAATAAGTATTAACTAAACATTTTATTTACGGGACCAATACATCTTCAAATGTTATATTTTAATAATAAAACTACATTACAATACACTACTTTACAGTACAGTTGGTGGATTCCAGGCACATATATACAAAGGGGTTTTCATACAAATACACTACAATACACTATTTTCCCAACACGATACTCTATTTTCTTACTACAGTATAACGTATATTTTTGGGAAGCTTTCATTTATATAGTTTTGTTTAATAATATGACTACAGTATACTATTTCCGAGTACGATAACAAACATACATTTGGTCTTAAGGCCTAAGACTACTTTTCATTTAGAATAGAAAATATTGGATTTTCTGAAGGATCATACTAACATTTTCAGAGAACAAAGACAAGATTTCCATCACAAAAGCATACTTATGAACTCACCTACTTAAAAGTTGATACTCTTTCAAAATCACTTGTATTATCAGGGAACTAGTAGACATGTAAACTTTAGGTTTTTGAGAAGAAGGAGCATTCATGGTGTCATTTCTATAGTTTTCACTATACATTTTGATGTTATATAATCAATGTTACAAACAAAATGTAATTACTATATTATCAATGCAATGGTTGTTGTTAATTTGATTACTATTATTCAGTTGTTGTGATATTGTACATGACGTCTTCCGCCCCCGAATGTTTCTGCTGTTCTGGATTGGGGTGTGACAAATTGGTATCAGCGCATTGTTTATAGTGAACTAAATATATCAAACCATGTAAGATATACAACTATAAATACAATGGGGCTGAAGCGCTCTGACTAAAAGTATACTTTTAAAATATAAGTATTTTATACGAAGTATAT